AGCCCACTTTCACCAAGAGCTGTTTTAATTTCCTTTTCCCATAGGCATTAACTGCAGTTAAGGCGTGGTGGAAATGAACTCTTACTCTGAAATCAGCTGCACCAAGTTTCCCAGCGCCAGAGCGTATTCATTTTTTCCGTACTTGACACTCGTGAGATGAATTTTCGGCTGTTTGTGAAAATTCGGCAGCCGGAGGGGCAGAAGTTTATCAGTTTAAAATAGTTCGTTATTTTTACAGAATGCATTCGGTACGTAGCACTTTTTGCTCTGGTGATTCAGCGACATTGAAAATACACTTTTTCTCCCAGATAGATATGTAAATTAATTTCAATTACTTCTCCCCTTTCGAAAGCTTCGAAAACCTTAAAACGCAAACCAAAATGTGCATATAGTATATATGTAGTACTTTTAGGGATTATGTAAAGTATGTATGTATATAAAGTGGTGTTACCAGAGCATCTAGACGGGGAGCTCATGCCCAAAAAACCCATCATTCTTCAGATCGATTGAAATTTTTTGTGAGCTTAGCTTGCTATCTATATATATAAATGTGAATGTCTGTTTGTTTATTACCTTACAACTTTAGAGCCACGACACGGAATCGCACGAAACTTGGCAGACTTATATGTTTTTACCCCGGGAATGTTATAGGTATGGTCTTATTTGAAACTATGTCGTAAATTTCGCAAGGGGGCTGTTAAGTAAATTATGTTTATCCCTTCAATATTTTAAAATGAGTAACCATTTAATAGTCAATCTTGAATTCATAAAAGTAACCATGTTGTATTTTAAGTTATAATTGTGACCTGTTGGTTCCGTTTAATGAAGAAGAATAAACAGGGCTGGCTGTCAAAATATTACTATCGCAAGAAAAACGTGCGCCTTTAAATTTCATGACGGATATTGCATCGTAAAATATATTTAACATAGGTAATCGTCTTGGGAATTGAAAAGGCTCAATTACCCCTAAACATTTTGGAGGCCCCGGCGAGATTTATATTTTACGCCAAGCAAAGCAATTTCGTTGAATTTCAACTTGGCCACGTGACTGTAAGATGTCAGACTCCGAATCACTTCCCCCACCAAGCAAAAAAAACGAGGGTCCACCTCTAAAGTCTGCGGGAAGTAGTAAACAGGATAAGACCGTCGCTGCCCTAAAAACTCGTCGCACTATGCACGAGCAGCAATTGGAGAGGGCACGGGACTTTGTTGAACGAGTGAAGGAGGATCACAAATTGACATCAACGTCTGAACTAAGCATTCGTCTTGAAGCACTGCATAAGGCGTTTGATGGTTTTAATAATGTCCAGCTAAAAGTCGAGGAGAGAGATCCAGATGAAATAACTCAGCAGAATGGACCAACCTACGAAGAATTATATTATCAAACCGCAGCAGCCATCAATCTTATAATGACTCAAATGGAGCTTGCAAGCAACTCCAGCAAGGTGCCGTGCACCAGCGTAGAAAGGTATGAGTCGATTAAATTACCAAAAATTGAGCTACACACGTTTTCAGGTGAAGCGACTACATGGATGAGTTGGTACGACCAATTCATGTCCCTTGTGCACAACAATCAAAATATCACCACACTAGCCAAGTTCCATCACCTTGTCAGCAAATTAGAAGGGACTGCTAAGGCCACTATCGAAGGTCTAAAAATCGTGTCAGAAAACTACGAAGTGGTTCTCAATCAGCTGCGTGATAGATTTGAGAACAAACGGGTTATTGGCAGAAAGCATATTGAGTTGATGTTTCAACACCCCAAAATCTGCAGGCCAAGCTCTGTTGATCTGCGAAGACTAATTGACACCATGAATAATCACTTGGTCGGATTGAAGAATTTGGATCGACCGACAGAACATTGGGATGACCATTTAATTACATAAAAATTGGATTCAGATACAGCTCTAAAGTGGAATGAGGAATCCGCTACGGACCGCATGCCCACACTAAGCGAGCTCATGATGTTTCTTAAGAAACGCTGTCAAATAATTGAAGGTAACATGCCTACTCAGTTATTAACTAACAACAACTCATCTAATAGTAGTTCTAACAAAACACAAAGAAACCCTCGTGCTCTCACGATAACGAAAAATACATGTAATTTTTGTAACAAGCAGGGCCATTTCATACATAAATGTATTGCCTTTTTAAACTTACCTGTGGCTGATCGCGTGCAAAGTATTCGTAATTTAAAATTATGCGAAAATTGTCTAAAAACTAATGAACATTCTGCGCTCAAATGCACATCAAATTTTAAATGTCGCACTTGTGGTAAAATTCATCATTCCCTGCTTCATCAAAATATGGACAATTCCAATATGGAAACCAATAACAATACCTTCCGAAAAACTCGCTCCGACAATTCGCATTCGCCACAGTCGATCTCTGCAAATAGATCTCATGCCGTCTTGCACAATAAGTTTACCCGCAATGACGAAAATATATTAGGAACTGCTATAGTAAATTTGATTAACAACCACAACCAGAGCGTCCCTTGTCGAGTATTGCTAGACTCTGGTTCGCAATTAAATTTGATTTCCCAACGAATTGTCAGAATAGCAGGAATAACCCACACATTTCCTCTGCGCTAACAACACGCGTATGTCTGCAAAATATAATTCTGTACTGACAATATAATCCCGCTTCAACAATTTTTCTATCACACTGGAAGCCACCGTACTAAATCACACAACAGGCCCTTTGCCTGACGAAAAACTGGAATGTGAGAACTGGAACATTTCAAAAAACCTCAAATTAGCAGACCCTCTCTTCAACGAGCCGCAACGTGTTGATCTGCTCATAGGCGTCGACGCATTTTTTTGAAATTCTGTCTGTTGGTCAAGTCAAACTTGGGCGTTGTTTACCAATAGCACAAAATACTCTTTTCGGTTGGGTCGTGGCTGGAAGGCTCTCTTCAACAAACAACAATTCATATAGCAATATGGTGCAGTGTGCGACCACACACCAAGACTCTATACTCAACGACTCTATCAAGGCATTCTGGCAATTGGAAAACATTAATTATCCGCTGCTCAATTTAACGAAAGATGAGAGGCAGAGTGAAATCCATTTCACAGAAAACTTTACACGCTTGCCGTGTGGTCGTTATCAAGTTCGACTGCCTTTCAAGATGAGTCCAAGCGCACTAGGACAGTCGTATGATTTAGCGCTTAGAAGATTTCGCTCCCTTGAGCTAAGGTTTCGAAAAGATACGACACTTCACTTACAATATAAGGAGTTTGTGAATGAATTTATATTTCTATCTTATATGGAGCCGATATCAGATGTAGACCTTAGCGTTCCCCATTATTTCATTCCACACCATCATGTTTTAAAGCCATCAAGCTCAACGACGAAATTACGCGTGGTATTCGACGCATCGTCTAAAACCAGTTCAGGTGTATCTCTCAATGAATTACTATTGGTCGGCCCTGCAATACAGACCGACCTACTCTCTACAGTCTTGCGATTTCGTTACTATACGTATGTTTTTACAGCGGATTTCTCGAAGATGTACCGCCAGGTATCATTACATCCTAATGACAGACGTTTTCACTATATTCCATGGCGCTCCGACGAAAGAGATCCAATAGCCATTTATTAACTGTGCACTGTTACGTACGGTACTACCTCTGCCTCCTTTCTAGCAACACGTGCGCTAAGGCAATTGTGCATTGATGAGCAACATACATATCCACGCGCAGCCGATGCCGCAATTCACGCGTTTTACGTTGACGACATACTAACGGGCGCTAACACATTAAGTGAAGCAATCGATTTGCAATTCCAACTCAAGACTATGCTTGCAAAGGGCGGCTTCGAGTTAAGAAAGTGGTGCGCGAATCACACCGAAATACTTAATGGCACTCCTGATGAAGGTAAAGAGAAGTTTTTCCAAATAAAGGNCGTGAAACAATCGATTTGCAATTCCAACTCAAGACCATGCTTGCAAAGGGTGGCTTCGAGTTAAGAAAGTGGTGCGCGAATCACACCGAAATACTTAATGGCACTCCTGATGAAGATAAAGAGAAGTTTTTCCAAATAAAGGGTGATAATGCAATTAAAACACTGGGAGTCATATAGAATATATATGAAAAGCCAGACTCAATTGCTAAACCAGCGACTACAAAAAGAAGTGTTCTCTCCCAAATAGCGCAGCTATTCGATCCACTAGGTCTAATAAGCCTCTGGCGCTTGAATATTAGTTGGGACGAATCGCTCCCTCAAGAATATCACTCTCGTTGGGAGAACTTTCGCAATCAACTGCAATATTTAAATAGCTCCAAGATTGATTGCCAGGCATTTGCACCGGTTGCAAATTATGAATTACATGCTTTCTCCGACAGTTCCGAACCCGCATATGGCGCATGCATATACGTTCGAAGTGTCTCTCAAAATAATGAAATTCTCAGTGTCAAGCTATTATGTAGCACCTCTCAAAAGTTGCTGCCTACCTAAGCTTGAATTGTGCGCTGCAGTTATCATGGCGCAACTCGTTAAGCGAGTCATTGAGATTTACAACTTTATTAGCTTTAAGAAAATAATTTATTGGACCGACTCGACAATAGTCCTAAGTTGGCTACGAGAGGAATCATGCAACTGGCAAACGTTTGTCGCTAATCGTGTTGCCCTTATACAAGAAGTCAGTTCCTTTTCACAATGGCGTCATGTGCCAACAGAGCATAATCCTGCAGACTTGTTATCGCGTAGAATGCTGCCTGAAATGTTGATTAGTTCCACTCTTTGGTCAAATGGATCGATATTTCTAATGCAGGAGAATGAATTTTGGCCAGTTACAGTAAACTTTNTGCTAATCGTGCTGCCCTTATACAAGAAGTCAGTTCCTTTTCACAATGGCGTCATGTGCCAACAGAGCATAATCCCGCAGACTTGTTATCGCGTAGAATGCTGCCTGAAATGTTGATTAGTTCCACTCTTTGGTCAAATGGATCGATATTTCTAATGCAGGAGAATGAATTTTGGCCAGTTACAGTAAACTTTACTCAGCCGAAAGATAGCATCTTGGAACGAAAACGGATTAAACTTGTTCTTGCAACGCAGTATGAAGAATATTTTGTACAAGGTATAAAATATCACAACAATTACCGGAAGTTAGTAAATGTTGTAACTTACATTTTGCGATTCAAGCAAAATTGTGCCAAGAGTAATAATCCACATCGTCGCGTTGGAGTACTCACTGCTGATGAACTGCGCTACGCTCTCTTCACGATAATAAAACTAGTTCAGAAAGACGGTTTTACTGAAGAGATACGTTCACTCAGCAACAACAAATCGGTCGCTAAAAAGAGCAGCATCCAGGCTCTCGCACCTTTCATTGATGACAGCGGTATCATCCGTGTTGGCGGTCGGTTACAGCACGCTGCTCTGGATTATGACAATAAACATCCAATAATACTTCCAAAATCGCACCCTTTCACACGCGCTCTCCTTGTCCATCATCACATACAGAATCATCACGTAGGGCCACAAGCATTGTTGAGTATTGTTCGTCAAAGGTTTTGGCCCGTCCATGGAAAGGTTTTAGCACGCTCTATCGTCTACAACTGCGTCCGCTGAGCGAAGGCGCAGCCAATTAAATCGAATCAACTCATGGCTGATCTACCAGAGCTTCATGTTCAACAAAGCCGACCATTCAATACTGTCGGAATTGATTTTTGTGGTCCCTTTTATATACACTTT